TGGAGAAACCAATTCAACAAAAGCAAAAGGCGGGAATCGTGACGTCATTGAACGATACGACACTCACAAAGGTGACATACGGAAAATACGCCACTCGGGTCCCGGATGAAGTGGCGTATGGAATCTACGAGTGGTTTAGTTCCCAGTAAAACACTCTCCTCCATATAATAAATGCTGTTATGACTGGTCATTTCACGTTGAGCGTTGTCACGGATTATATTTGCCTGTGAATACAGCCGTCTCTCCTCAGTCGCTCCTCATCGTTCCCATGCCTACTTGTATCTAAGCAATTGTGAATAAAATAGTTGAATTCAATAACAGTCTTGTTTACTGTGTTGTTCACTTCAATTTCCACTTAAATGATCCGCCGTGGTATACGCGATTTCCTCTGTTGATACTGGAACGATTAAATGGGCTTTCTTGTTCACGTACACAATTACGAAAGCATTTCTTAACACCAATCGAACCTTTATAAGCACATGTTCGCCTGCACTTCCTAACCCTTGGTTACTGCTAGGGCCTGTTCACATGGAGGTGGTGGAACCCCAGGTAGGTGAGGTAACTCGCTTTAGCCTGAGAATAGCCTGTGAGCAAGCTCTCCTATTTGAGGGAGCCTCGGGAGAACGCGCGAGCGAGGGGCCGAGGAAACTCTCCTTTCCTCTGCCCCTCGCGGCCTCGCCACTCGCTCGCGCGTTCTCGCGAGACTCGCTTCGCTCGCCCAAATAGGAGAGCTTGCTCGCAGGCTAGCCTGTGAAGCGGTCTTTGGTCGCCTGTTCACAGGCTAACCAGCTTAGATGGGGTAACCCGCCTGTCCATATATCTTTCATTATTAATTAGATAACGTTTACATGACCTGGTGGGGTGACCCGCCATATGTTACCTCACCTATCTAGGGTCCCCCACCTCCATGTAAACAGGCCGTCACTTAGGACAAGTCAACATACGTTTGTGTCCAGTTTCCTCGCCGAAAGTGTTACCAGAGGCCAGTGCTTCATAGGTTCATAGTGAATTAGCCTCGTAAAGAGTTAGCCCCACAAAATGTTCAGGATGAACACCACCATGACCACGATCCATCAAACATTTGGATTTTTACTACCGTAGCATTTATCACCGTGTTTGTGTTAGGGCTTTCCACAAGTTGAAAGAGATTTTCGTAAAAGTTTCTGGTAATTTCTCAAAAAGTTGCTAAAAAAAACAATCAAAAGTAGCTTTTTGTAACAAAAGTTGCTCGAAAAAAACAAAAACTTTTTTTGGTCTGATGCTAAAATATGCAAATTGTACAACAAAAGTAACATTTCTAAGCATTTTTGTGCAATTTTGCGGCGTAACTAGCGTTGCCAAATAACTTTATCCTCAACCAAAATATTAGCCTGCGAACAGCAGACGTTTCTCCTCGCTCATCGCTGCTGAGGGGCGTTTCGCAAGGAGGAACGACGTTTCTCCTCGCGAAACGTCCCTCAACAGCGATGAACGAGGAGAAACGTCTGCCGTTCGCAGGCTACCAAAAAGTGTAATGAGCCAATAAAATTGCTGAACGACCCTCTTCACCCAAGACACTCAAGTCAGTCGAGAGTGAATCTTCGTCCACCATTTTGAATTTTGTCTAAAAACCGCTGACCTAGCCGCCCGCCTACTTTTATCTTGCGCCCATGATCTGAACCAGTGAGGAGGATTTGGCTCCTTTTTTTACAGGGAATTTATAAAATTGTCTACAGTAAAACCTGTATTAAGCGGACACCGTATTAAGCAGACACCCTCTATTAAGCGGACAGTAGCCGAAGTCCCAAAATTTATTTCCCTTATTTACTTTAAATGAAACGGACACCTCTATTAAGCGGACGCGGACACCTAAAAAGTACCTGAAATAGTCATTTCTATTGTTGCCAACCTGTATTGAACGGACACTTGTAATCAAATTTCACTACCCAACATGCCAGACACCGGAAATGCGAAAGATTACCTCGAATTACCACCCACAACTTTTTCCATTTTTACATTAAAAAGCGTGACTTGACGAACTTATTTGATTAGTTTTACAGTACAGTATTGTTTTCTATTTCGTTTTGTTTGTATAGAGCTTGTTTCACTTATCTGATTTCTTCAAATTTGAGTTGCAATCTATGTTTATGGTACTATGACCAATTGGTCCACTTTGATAAAGAAATTAATGCAAACGTATCGTCAAAGTCTCTGAGAGTATTCTTAACATTTCCACTGTTCATTTGAATGGCATTTGACATCTCATATGACGTTATCTATCGAAACCTGTATTAGGCGGACACCCTGTATTAAGCGGACACTACAGCATTCCCCGAGGGTGTCCGCTTAATAAGGGTTTCACTGTACTAACATTGTGAATTATGGAAGAAAGGTCAATTTATGCGCTAAAAGTTGCTCCGATATCTCAGAATTAGAAGATAACTAGAGAAATTGCTCAGAATGTAAAAAGTTGCTCGAAACGAGAAAAGTTGCTCGAAATACGTTGAAGTTGCCAAAAAGTTGCCGAGCAACTTGTGGCAAACCTTAGTGTACTCCGAGTAGGTTATGGCCAGTACCTTGGGCATTTGGGCGAGCCTCGGGAGAACGCGCGAGCGAGGGGCCGAGGAAACTCTCCTTTCCTCTGCCCCTCGCGGCCTCGCTCCTCGCTCGCGCGTTCTCGCGAGGCTCTCTTCGCTTGCCCAAATAGGAGAGCTTGCTCGCAGGCTACGTCAGTCTAAGCCTGGGCACTAAGTGCTAATTATGCTAAAATGGCGGAGGAGAGCGGCATTAATTGTTGTTGTTGGCGATATTATATTGGAATCGAATCGACGATGAATCTTTTGGCCGTAGATTTTTGCTAGCTGTTGCGTGTTTCGCTTATTGATTACCACGGAGATATGAGTTTTTCGCCGTATAAAGGATCGCGGGATTTTATCTCTGTTTCTATGCCATGGAAAGCCGACAAAGATGATCACAACAGCAAGAGTCGGAGACATACGTCCATTTACAGGGTAAACAAACCAGCTGTTATGATTATGGTACTGTTATGATGGTGGTCGTTTGAACATTTTCTTAACTATTAGTCTTGTTGCCGACAATCGACAACAGCATGTATTGAAATATCCCTCATCCCAAATTTCAAGTGCTACAATCATGTAAGCCTTATTTTCCGGTGGTTATTTATTCATTAACTTGGTTCCCTTGTCACAACGTGGTATTATATCAAGTTCAATTTAGAAAAGCAGGCAAAAATGATGTAAACCTTAACTTTCAATGTTTTAAGCTTACTACATATACCGCACCAATGGATATATTTAACAATTATTCCTCGAGCCCGAATGGGCTCTGAGTCGGCCGAATGGGCCATTGACTCAGAGGCCATGAGGGCGAGAGAAATGATTGTTTTTAGTAACATCCAACTTGTTGGTCAAAAATATCGAGAATAAAAAGATTTTAGCTTGTTAAAGCTAGACTTTAATCCTTTTTTTGCCGCCAAAAAGCCGGCGCTATTCACTACCAGTGGGCTATAACATAGCCTAGTAGTAGCTCAACCAATCAGAATGCAGCATGGAAAATAGACCACTAGTTGGATTTTACTAAAACCTAATGTACTCTTGTGATAATTCTTCATGTTTAATTTCATTGCAGAAATGGAGAGCCTTGTCGTCATTTCAAAGGTCGTTGCTTATCTTGTTTTGTGTTCTTGGTTGTGTAACAATAGTGATCTGGCGGAAAGGACTTATTTCACACGGTTACAGTTCCAATGGTTGGGATTCAGCTATGGATCATAAAGAACACATGCTTTCTAATGAACATTTGCTTAAATTTAATAAGGTCAATAAGCAGGATATCATTGACAGTCGCTTAAAAGAACTGGAAGAGCTTAGAAAACAACACGGTTTTGTAAAGAAAGGGCCTCCAAAATTAAAGGATAGAATTCAATCAAAACCAACTATAGCCAAAATAAGTCATGATGGAAATGGTGATAGAAAAGTAAATGATAATAATCATAAAAGCAAAGTGGAAAAGGAAGAAAGAACAGCAGAGGAGATTTATGGAGATACAGTGGTGAATGTTGAAGATAGACTTGGGGAAAATGGAGGAGATACTGCTGGTGATGGTGAGGTCAAGTCTCAGCCTCAAGCAGATCAGTCTGTCGCATTGAACATAAATGGAGTGAATATTCTTCCTTTAGAAAAACAAAATGATCGTCAAAAGGAAGTTGTTGAAGCTTTTAGATATGCTTGGGATGGTTATAAAACATATGCATGGGGTCATGATGAATTGCGTCCAGTTTCAAAATCATATGGTGAATGGTTTGGTGTTGGACTCACAATCATTGATTCTTTGGATACCATGCTTTTAATGAACCTGCGAGAGGAGTTTCAGCAGGCACGTGATTGGGTTGCTAACAGTCTAACATTTGAAAAAAATGTTGATGTTAATCTGTTTGAGACAACTATTCGAGTACTGGGAGGGCTTTTGAGTGCATACCACTTGTCAAAAGATGATTTGTTTTTGAAAAAAGCGGTAAGTTTTAATGAAGGTTGAACTTCACTACATATTATTATTTGATTTGTGCTAATATTATATTAGAGTACAGGTGCATAGCAACCAAGGTTCATCTTCCTTTAATTGCTCACAAACGAACGGTAATGCAAGATTACAAAAACAGTGGTCTTATGTCCATGTGAGTGCATAAATTCTTCAAATGAATAATCTCTTCTTCAAATTTTGTGGTGATTACTCGGCTGGTCATTCTGGCGAAGAAGGATCCAGGGACAACAAGTCCGTTTTCCAGTCTCCTAATGATCCCGTCATTTTGACTTGCACTTTGTTCTCATTGTGGGCTTTTTTAAGAAAGGCGAATATAAGGAAGGAAAGTTCCATTGGCACATTCAGTTGTTTCTCAGAAAAGAAATAAGTGCCCTGTCCTGAATAAGCGCCCTCCCTTGAGGCACCAAAAGTAAATAAGTGCCCTGGACACTAAATCGAATAGTTACAAAAGTCTGTTTTTTTACTTGTCATGCCTTTAAAACATGGTTCAAGTTATTGAGGGTAAAATTATATAGATAAGAAATGATCTGAAGAGAAATAAAAATTAGTATTACTTTGAGTGAGCATGAGGTTCGAGTCAGTAGTGAGGGTTGGAGTTTTGGTAGTGGACTGTATACATGTATATCCTTTTTAAAAGATTTTTCTCCTATTCTGGGTTTTAGAATATACCGTATATTCTGTGTTTTGTTTAAGAATATTCTGTAAATTCCATGTTTTAGTATATTCCATATATTCCGCCTTTTAGAGTATTCCGTGTATTCTGCCATTCTGTTGTGTCATTCTGTTCTGTCAATCCGCCATTCCATCGAATAGGGTCACCCGCTATAGCTATATTTGTGATTTGTTAAAAGGAACATTAAAATTGAAATCATGAATACAGTAAAAACTAGTGCATTTTCCCAAATTAGCCTGTTAAACAGGTTCTTGCATAAACGTTAATTAGCGCAAATTTAGGCGGTTTAGGTTCTTACATAGGTTTTTATTTTCTGAAGATGAACATTACATAAATATATTGTAAAGCCTTGCCCAATTTTTTGCACTCAGCTGTAACAGTTACAGGTAGTTGACTCTTAAACGTCAATAATAGCATTTAAACAACTCTTTTTAAATCTTATTTGCCCAAGTGTACAAAATATTTTCATAGATTTTAAAAGTAAAAACCTGTTTCAAATTTTAGGCTCAAGAGGTTCTTGAATAGAGTGGGTAAACTAGCAAACGTTAGCTAACACATGTTCTTACTTGTAGCCTTTTACTGTACTTACCGTATAATGATTACAGAGCTCTCAAATCTGATGGTTTTCAGGAAGGTCTCCCGTTAGTCCCACTGATAAATAAAATTTCATGGAAAACAGATTTATGGGCCAAAACTTAAATTTCTTGTAGATCAATATTATTTTATATAATTTGGTTCAAATTTTATTTTTTGTTTTTTTAAACTGGTTAAGAAGTTTATCCAATAAAATATTGTTTGAACTTAACTGCATTACAAAATTTTTCATTTTGGACAATATTATGGATGATTGTTTTGTGCCAATTCAGAAAACCAATATATTAGCAAATTTATATTTGTTTGCATTAGTGTAGTACAATAATATTTGCACGGAGCAGTGATGTGCACACACTGCCATTTATCATTGTTATTACATATGAATTATGGTGTCCAGCAAATAATCTGTCACAATTATCAGCCCTGAATAAAACTGTGTGCTTTTCAGATTGATTTGGGTGATCGTCTTTTGCCAGCCTTTGATTCAAGATCTAACATTCCATATTCAGATGTTAATCTGCTGACTCATGGTGCACATGCACCACGTTGGGGACCTGATAGCTCAGTTTCAGAGGTCTCTACAATCCAACTGGAGTTCAGGGATCTTACTTATACAACTGGTGACTCAAAGTACAAGGTACTGGAAATTCTTATGAGATTTGTGTATTTCTGGCAACTTCCATGTCCTTGATTGTTTTTTTGAGTTGCTTATTTGATGCTTTCAACAGGAAGCTGTAGATACTGTTATGAGCCACCTCCACAGCCTTCCCAAAAGAGCTGGTTTAGTACCAATTTTTGTTAATGCAGACACTGGACAGTTTCGCTCTAGTTCAACTATCACCCTCGGTGCTCGAGGTGATAGTTACTATGAGTATCTGTTAAAACAGTGGTTACAGAGTGGAAAAAGTGTGGATTGGTAAGTCTGCAGACACTGGTCATTGTTATGGTGCACAAAGGAGAAAAAATGCAACAAAAACTAATGAAGGCAAAAGAAAAGGCAAAGAAACTTTTGACGAGGCCAAGGGTGACAAACACATCGGGCAGCCCGAGTTACATGGGTTGCTACACTGAGGGGGGCCTTTGGTGTAAATGTCCTGTGCCAACCATAATATTGGCTTCAGCACAGGGCTGAAGGGTGTGCAGCAGGTACCAGTTCCACCCCGCCCCCCTCCAGGTTATGATAATTAGGGCTTAAAGGTACACTGTATCTAACAAGTTACAGTGAGTTCTTTTTTTGAACACTATTCCAAAATCGGGATTCTGTTTATTGAATAGCAATATACAAAGTAATGCAGAGTTCCATGGGACTCACTTACTGTTTAAATTCTGAAGTAATGGGAATATACTGGTATCCAAGAAAATGGATATATGTTAAATGATTTCTCCTGCCTTGTAGTTAGTTGTCAAAGCAGCAAAATACCAATAATACATGTGGCAAGCTAAGTGAACAGTAGAGGCTCTCTGCTTTAAAAGGTTAATTTACAGCACTGTACTAAAGCAGAGAAAAAACTCTTTAGTATAATATATTTCCTTACACAAGGAAATGAGAAACCAACTCTCTGTCAAATCTTCTAGAATTTCTTTTACAGAAACAAAAACTCACCATTCTTGGGTCTGCAGGAATTTTTATTGTTGACACCAAATTCAAAACATCAATTCTGAACTTTGTATGCGACAGTATTCAAGGTTGTTTGATAAAGGATTTTCTGGAAAAAGCCAGAATGTATTCTTATTCCAGGATAAGGTTCATCACATGCACGTTAAATAATTGGTTCTTTTAAAAAGGCTAAATTACTAAGATTTGCTGCATTTTATTATCTTCCACTGTAATCTTGTTACAGTTCGCAATATAAAATTCTTTTTTGTAGGCTTAGAGATGATTTTGTAGAGGCTATGGATGGTGTCATGTCACTTCTAAAGCGAGAATCCCATCCAAACAAGCTTGTGTATATTGGTGAACTTCTTCATGGCCAGACCTTTAGTCCTAAAATGGTAAAATGAATATTTGCCACCCACTAAATAATAAGATAAAAGAGAAGGTTGAGTATACAACTATTTTTTCATGCTTGGTTTGTGTTTTCTTTTTCTGTAGATTATTCTTACAAACTTTATACGTTTTAATTTTAAAACTAGACACTCAACTTGGAACTGACTTTTTAAGCATTGGTTTGTTACAGCATTAGAATGCCATAACAAGCAAATTATTATTATTCTAGTTTACATCGTGCTTATTATTTGACATTTGTTAAGTTAGAACATCCTTTCGCTTCTGTACAGTACTTGTAAGCTGATTGTAAAAGTAACATTAAAGTGAAGTTTACAGTAGGTAAAAGTTTATTTATTATTTATTTTTTATGAAACTAAATTAGCTATGTTCTTTGTACATTTAGGACCATTTGGTGTGTTTTTTGCCTGGAACTTTGATGTTAGCAGTTCACAATGGTCTGGATGCGAAATATGAGCAGTTTGCAAAAGATTTATTGGAGACTTGCGTTCAGATGTACCAGAAAATGCCTACAGGACTCAGTGCTGAATTAGTTTACTTTAATGAAGGCCCATCCTCACATGATGATATCACAATCAGGGTAAGCGTTGTGATTCAGTGTGTTGCTAAGTAACATGATGATATCACAGTCAGGGTAAGTGTTGTGATTCAGTGTGTTGCTAAGTAACATGATGACATCACAGTCAGGGTAAGTGTTGTGATTCAGTGTGTTGCTAAGTAACATGATGATATCACAGTCAGGGTAAGTGTTGTGATTCAGTGCACGATGCTGCGAATTAACGTGGAGTGACTAACGGTGCAATTATGGGGAACAGTAAATAAGTTCTTGTATAGGTCACAAACTTATCGTTTCACTGTATGACAACAATCAAAGTAATACGCATTGATACCTCTGAGAGGACATTCATGTACAACAGCCCTCCTCAAAACATGCGAAGATATAAGAGCAAATTTAGACTCTAGCGAGCACTCTGCAGCAATTACCATAGACCTCTCCAAGGCATTTGACTCTATTAACCATAATTTGCTTCTTGCAAAGCTGTCAGCGTACGGTGTAACTGAAGACGCCCTACAACTTCTACGTTCTTACTTGACTGGCCGAAAGCAACATGTCAAGATAGACGGTAACCTGTCAGATTGGCAAATTATGAAGTGTGGAGTTCCTCAAGGTTCGACCTTGGGCCTCCTTCTCTTCAATATATACATGAATGATGCGAATTTTTCAGATATTTCTTCTATGCCGATGACACTACGGGGTACTCTTCAAGCCCTTGTCCATCCACCTTGCAAATAAATCTACAAAACAACCTTGATCTACTCGTTTCCTGGTTTGTAAGAACTTCCTGGCGATTAACCATAGTAAATCTCAATCCATCGTCTTCAATAGAGCAACTCTACCAACGCCCTTTGTTATTGACAACAATGAACTGGTTTACGTTCCACAGATCAAGCTCCATGGTGTAATTATCGACAATTCACTCTCTTTTAAAGCACATATTAAAGAAATTTGCCGGAAAGTGAACACAAAAGTTTCAATTCTTCGTCGCATTCGTAAAATTATACCCTCAGATATTATGATTAAACTGTACAAAGCATTTATTGTGCCTCACTTTGAATACGCATCACCATTGTTCATAGGTCTAAGTAAAGGTTTGTCCGCAAAACTAGAGTCAACCAACGCATTTGCTCTTAGGACTCTTCTTAACTACTCTAAATCGACTGCTTATGAAGAGCTACTTAAAACTGTACATATCAAAAGCTTGGAACATCGACGCATAGAACAAGCACTGATACTCGTATACAATAGCATGTATAACCAGGCACCGAACTACATTCGGGAAATGTTTTTACTGCGAAGCAATGGTTACAGCCTACGGGGCCATCTTAGGGTTGTTCTTCCAAGACCGACCTCATCTTATATGCAACATTCTTTCACCTACCAGGCTGGCAAACAATGGAACAATCTACCAGACAAAATAAGGATGTCGGAGTCCCTCTCTATTTTTAGGAAAAACTTACAAAACATACAGTTGTCTTCATCGTATGACTGCAACTGTGTTTTTTGTAAATAGACAATCTGATTACCAATATTTTCTCTTTTTAAATTATTATTATTTTTTAGTTGATTTAATTTCTCTATTTCTTTTTTTTATTTATCACTTGTACATGTACATTATGTAAATTATCACGTTGTAATTTTTATGGCACATTTGCATTTAAACGAGCTATCGCTCACATGCGATATGTGGTTAAATAAAATTACTTACGTACTTACTTACTTACTTACTTTCTGCATGAGGTTTAGCATGTTGTGGCTCAGCCCAGGTTCGTAAAACTAAACATTACCAAATGAAATGGGGACACCCTGTATTTAAGAGACATGTTATTGATAATGACAGATCTCTGATGTATTTGAATATTTTTTCAGCCGCTGGATGCTCACTGCTTGTTGAGGCCTGAGACTGTTGAGTCTTTATTTATTGTTTATCGTCTGACTGGAGACAAGAAATACCAGGAGTATGGCTGGAATATATTTCAAGCAATAGAAAAACACGCCAAAATCCCTACTGGAGGTTACTCATCTTTAAACAATGTCAAAGACACAAGGCTGGGCTTTAGAGACAAAATGGAAAGTTTCTTTCTCGGCGAGACACTCAAATATTTATTCTTACTATTTAGTGACGTGGATATGGTTCCCCTTGATAAGTTTGTATTTAATACCGAGGCTCATATTTTACCAATTAGAAAATTTTAGTAAAGCTTTGGGATAATAAACATGTAATATTTTGTGATATAATACCAAGTGCTTTAGTTACAGTATAGAATTGTGAGAAGTAGGAAATCTTTCTTCATTTTCCTAGAATGGGATCTTATGATAAAAGAGAAGGACGGGAATGGCCTTTTAGAAGTATTCGATTCTTTATTGAATTTACGAATAAAGCCTGTTTTTGTCAAAAATTGTCTACCGTAAAAGTTTCAAAGGATATCGTTCCCAGTGCCTCTCACTGACTACGTCAATCTTTCTCCTTTCACTCCATCTTCCGACTCAATTTACGCACCACCCAAATAAGGTACAACCGGCTTATTTGTTAAATTATCTGGAATTTAATTTTGGGCGAACGTTATATGTGAAGCGGTTTACTGGTAATAATAGCACCTCTTGGGAAAAGCTTACTAAGACGGTAAAAAAGTACAGCCAACGCATGTGGCTTGCCTGTCTTCTTTGCTGTTCTTCGAAGACGTCGATCAAACTCAGTTTAACATCCTCCCTCGGGCTAACCCCGGGCGTTTGACCATTACTTGTGCTTTAGGAGTGGGGCAGTTTACGCGCGCGAAAGGAATTGCCAAGAGTGGGGAGTTTGATAGACTTCGAGTAGTTCCTCATTTTCCCTCAGGGATAGTAGAGCGAGCGAAACGCGAGCGCGCGTGAAAATCACCCCACGCGAGAACGGGGAGACTGTAAGAGTTTGACGTTGAATTTGAACAGGAATAGTCAATTGGTACGGCGATCGGGTGTCTGAAAAGGTGGTTCCGGTGAGTTGGAGGAATGTAAAGATAAGGACACCGCTTTTGTTACTAACTGCTTGTTCGCAAAGGACAACTTCAAAAGCTATGCAACATTTTTGAAGGCAATCAGGCGCTGAAGAAGCAGAAATTTCATGGAGGGAAAGAGTAAATCATAAGGAGAGAGGAAAGAAACGCTTGTTATTAGTGGAGCAACGCAACTTTAAATCCATGTTTTGCGAACTCTTTGAGACAACTCATCTAGCGGTAAAAGAAATATTATTTCACACGAATTCGGCAATAAAATTTAAGGTAAAGAAAGCGGCCGGTCTTCGATAGCGTGCTTTTCTAAAAAATGTCACATATTTGATCGCAAGCTAAGATTATTTCACACATCCTGTTTTTTGATTCATCGCAGTCTTATGTTAACTCGGGAGTCAAGTATTCCCAAATCACGACGACCAATCACAGATTTCCTGTTGTAGAAATGCAACTTGCTATGCGACCCGTTGACGAACTGGGCACTGTAATTACAGTACATGTCGCGAAAGGCAAAATGTTCTCCCCCCACCCCTTGAGATTTTCTTCGATGGTTTTCCTCTAAATTTTATTCCAGGAAGTTTTTTTCCCTTTTAAGCCCTTATTGAAGTGCCCAGTCATCGTAGACGTCTAGCTTATATTTTAGAGAGATTCTTGGGTGGTCTGTAATCTACGTCAATCTGTTGCTCCGGGTTTCCTTAAAAGCGTACCAGATTCACTGGTTTGGGTTCTTTCCACCAGAAGTATGTCATCCATGAACGCACTTAGGAAATAAACAGACCCTAAACGTCCAGTGGTGACCTGATCAGCAGCAGGTGAGCCTGATCATGTGAGTTGCTTGATGTAGACGGAAGTATGATTATTGGGTTGCATGCCCGATGTGTTATTTTTCAAGTACACGATGAGGTAGCCTGACAAAACAAGAAAAAACAACGAAAGTCATATTGTTATGTTGTACATGCAGTAACCGCGAAAGGGATCAATCAACTTAGAGAACTCTGGGCTATCCGTTAACTCCAGTCTGTAGGTTAGTGTCTGTAGGGTTAACTGTAGGGCGGGCGGCTGGCTTGCGCATGAGCAATGTATTAAGCTAAGGTAGTGAGCAGCGTTCTCTTGCTTATTCTCTGACGTGTCAAATGTTTAGTAGCCTTAGACTTCTTCAGGGAGTTTTACAATCAAATGCTAAACGCCTGTTTTTAACCCATATCAGGTGATATGAAGATTGTTGCTAGCATCAAAGGTTTGGCCGGACTTGCGAAACGGAACAAGCGCAACTGTAAACTATTTAATTAATAGACAAATCTCTCATGGGCAGGGAGGGGTCGGAGTAGGTAAAAAGCGCTCCAAACACAGACTCCTTTTTCGCACCCGGTGGAGTATTTTTCGAATAAACAATGGATAGCGGACAGTCCTATTTTCTCCCTCCCCACCACCCCTACCCCAACCCTATCACAAACGTATATTAGTTCCTTTACCTATTTTTTAAATCTTATGTTAGCGCAAGACGCTCCTTTCACTAAAAAATGATGCTGCAGTTTCGAACGAATATTAGCGACTTTAACGTGATGTTACACGGAACTATTCGCAACGACGATTTTTAGCGCAACACAGCTTTGCAATGCTGGAACAGTGTTGTAGTCATTCGAAACAATGTCGGAACAATATTGCAACGCTGTGTTGCGCTAAAGATCTCGTGTAGCATCGCCTTTAAGGCCCAACGACGCGGACGGCAACAAGAACGTCAAAAAAAGTAATAGGTTTAATAAGCAAAACAACAACTTCGCTCGTGCATCACACTTTTTTGTACATTTTTCCCGTTTTTGCACGACTACAACGTGAAAATGCTTTATTTCGCGGTTTATGGAAGACGTAAACAAGCACCGACGAAATTGTATTTTCCTTTCTTAGCTTGGATATGGTCATTGGAAATTGAGCTTCAGGAGGGTTCGCCTACATTTGACAAAGTAAGTGGATAGGAATAATCGCTATAAAGACTGAAAGAACTTAAGCGACGTTCTCGTTACCGTTGGGTCGTTGGATCTTAAAGTCCCTATCATAACCCGAAAACCGCGATTATGTATATTGCTTTAGTTAAAAGTGTCGGGTGCACTTACCAGTCCATAGTGTTTTTTCTGTCATAACAAAAGCTTTACACGAGTCTTCCAAATCACACTTGTATTGTGCCTCTCTGACGTCATACACCGCCAGTTCACAGGCTTCAAACAGACGTGTCCCTGGACAATAGTAGTCGTGTAAGTTGGGAAAGTCCGCCTTAGGAACCAGTTTGTATAGATTAAACCGTGGGACATTTTCTAAAACAAGAAAAGAAAACAAGTGAGCAGACGGATACTCAATTAGAAAGACAGACTGTTAGCAGTCCCGCGGGATGTTGCGCGGAGCGATCTGAGGCCGAACACGGAGAAAGAAGCTCTTCCCCAGTTCCTTTTCTTATCTTCTGCTTACTCAGCCCACTGACCAGGCTGCTCCAGGCTTTTAGATGGGACTTAACGAAGGTAAGCCGTCACAAGAAAAAGATAAGGCACTTGCGTGCTCTGGGAAAGTTCCTATAACTGTACATTAATCATTAATGTTAATATATCTTGAAATAGCCCGTATGGACCACAATAACGGCATAAATTCATTTATACTACTACATGGGAAATTTCTGCAATTTGATTGGCTTAGAGCAGTGGTATTTCAGCTTAATTTGAAATACCTACATGTGAAAATTACAAGACCTTTGTGGGTAGTAGTATAAACAAATAATAGCATGATCTGTGCGTGATATTTGGCATAAATACCACTCGTGATATTTCAAAATTATCTCAAATTTCACTCGCCTAACGGCTCGTGAAATTACGTACAACAATTTCGAAATATCACTCGTGGTATTTATGCCAAATATCACTACAAATCATGCTATTACCTATACAAATAAATTATACTACCGCAGGAGCCTCCCAAAATTGAAGTAAAATTTACCTAGGTGTTTTCCAGAACGTAAAAGGTAAAGCACTCTTTCCATATGCCAAACTAGAGCTTCACTGTTCCAAGTCAGTTGCTGGACGTTGTATTTGATTTCATTCAAGTATTCTTTTAAATACTCTGGAGAACCCGGCACAAGAACGTGGTTAAAAAAATAACGACCGATATTGTCTAAATTCACGGCAGAAATCAGATTTTTGCATCGTCCTTGATTACACTGCAAAGTCTTATTCACACCAATAGTTCTTCTGACAACACAATCTCTATTCGTTAGACATCGCGGTTCTTCGTTGTCTACATCATCCAGATCTGTCAATTTAATCTCTCCATCCACAAGTACAAACTGCGACAGCTTGAAGTCTCTTATAAAAAGAGAACCGATGGGAGACTGGGCCAAATACTGCAACAATCTGGCCAGACCCAAACAAAGCTGTAACAAAGAAAACAATATTGTATTGATCATCAGACTTTTATTCATTCAAAATATTTCCCCGTTTCCAGCTGGCTAAAACCACACGCATAATTCACCATAACCAGCTCCTGCTGACCAAATTTGGAAAGAATTTTGTTATATTGAACCGATGACGTCAAGATGACGTCAAAAGTGCAGCCTGGTTGCAGGTTATTGAACCATTGACCGAGAAAACCTGGGGACGAGGCTGAGTTGTTTTGGCAGTTAGAACAAAATGGCGGATCTGTCCCGGAACATTTTACTCGTTTCACGGCGAAATATTGTCTAAAAACATGGCAACAACAGCAAGAAGACAACTCGACAGACAATATCTGCTATTTGGAGTATATTTGCAGACCTGAGCAGGCCTTAATCTAATAAACTTCCCGACAAAGATGCATTTTTGATATGAACTTACATCGACCGAGGTTAGCATGTTTTAGCTTGTTTTTAAACTTGGAATTATTTTGAAGGAATAATAAAACAATTATTGAATTCGGCTTTCGTAGGATATGAATAATTCTGCAGATCTCGGAGGTCGTTATCCACCTCGGCCTTCGGCCTTGGTGGATAACACCCTCCTCGATCTGCAGTGGGAATAGGTTTCAGAGTAATTTTTATTTTTTGGAATGAAAATTTTTTAAACGGACATTGGCTTCAAGCTGGATATTGTCAACTCTCGGCTGGCGGCGGACTCTTCGCTTTTAGCGGGTACCTGCATGCTACTGCTTCCCCGGTGAACTCACAAAGGCTGCAGTGGCAGGACATATGCGTAGTTTACCTTACCCTAAACCTTTCCTGCCAAGGTAGCTGTACCAGTCCAATTACATCAAGTTTTGTTCCAATCTCTGTCATCAAGGTGAGCCCTCGGGTAGCAAAATCAGCGGTGTTTTGCTCATTTTGCCAACAGAATCCAAGAAGCTGTGTAACAACGAGAAAGCAAAGTTGTTTACCACATGTTTTAGCTTGTACACGGTAGTTTAAACTCTAACGCAAACTTTCAAACATTTGTAGTCAGTAGTTTCAACCGCTCGTACACTGAGTTACGTTGTTTGGCTGAAGTTTGAGTAAAGAGTAACTGCTCCTGTGAATCCTTTTTATTTTAACATTGTGTGGCGTGTATATGATTTCAAAAATAGACAACTTTCGTCCGTTACACTGTCCATGCTGTACTTGCCACTGTGCGGTAGTCTTTCCAAGTTATGAACGAGTCTCCAAGAAAGGTCAGACAAGAAAGAAACTACCGACACAATCAAAACAAAGCCGGAACTCGACCTCAAAGTAACTGAGAATGTGATATTTTGATCAAAATGACCTTAACGTTGCAATCAGATTTTACCGATATCTTAACCAGGTACTTTGAATGGATAGAATGATTGCGGCCCCCGGATGGATTAGCCCGAAATGCGTTAATTTAGGTATAGTTTTCTAGCTTAATTGAGGCAGGCGGCGGCTTCGAAAACACCTCAGGTCCTTCGTGGATAGTTTATATTAAAATGCCGTAAACATGAAGAGAGTGTTTTTCCTTTGTAAAATACTGAAAATATACCCGAGAGAAACAGGAGCAACAGAGGTTTTTCCTGCTACTATGCTCTAGAAGGAACACCTGGATTTTGTGTCTTGTTTTTGGTCTGATTTTATTTGCGGTATCACTATCCGATTAGAGAGTCTTCGGAAATGAAATGTTCAGTTCTGCTCTCAACTCATGGTCAGTCAGCTGTAAGATCTGATGTAGCGCTCGGTTCAGCTTGTAGAGGGTCAGTTATAAAAACATGGGAGGAATTTCTTAAACGTAATCCGCAACTATACTTGGCAATGATCTTTTTTTCAGTAGAAGACATTCATTTTCAGTGAGGTTATGGGTTAGTATCAGGTTCCTTTCAACGTTTTAAAAGGGTGCAAAGAGTAAAATGAACCATTTAAAGGTATTACTGGCTGCTGTCTAAACGCGCTTCACCAAATCATCACTCTCTTTATTCCCTAGAACTGATGCATCACTCGTAACCTGCTCATGAGGACATACAGACATAGTTTTGTATTTTAATAATTCATAAAGTTCGCTGCTGAGTTCACGAGCGCTATAATCCCTAAGCCCATATATCATGGCAAATAACAACGGAAAGATTGTCTGGTGATATTATCCAATTAATTAAGGACAGATAAAACTGAACTCAAAGTAATTATTTCGATAGAAAATGAACCACTTACCTTTATAATGTTTGCATGTTGCAGTTGCTGAAGCATAATTATTTCTTTGGCTAGCTTATATTTGGCGTAAATAAAACATTCATCGACTGATCTGTTTGACTTATGAACTGCACAGTGTTTGATATCCTCATTGTCGAGCTGCACGCTTTTTACCGCAATTTCTGTACCCTTATATAATCCTTTGTGGACCGTCTTAGTATATCCACGTCCAATTTTCCCCACAATTTGAATGTCTTCTATGTGTCTGCATCCAAGGTACCGTCTGCTGCCATTCGCGTCAGTTAACTCGTACTTATTAATGTTTGTTTTTGGAGTTCTCCATCTTGAACCGAAAAACTCCACGGCAGCCGGCCTGTCTTGGTCCTTGTACAGCTTGTTGAATTGTGATACGGTGCGATCAAGAAAGATTTGTCTGGCGTTGGTCAAGCTTTGACCAGACAGCCTAGGAAGACCGCTAAAATGGCTCTTTACATGTGATTCAAGGAGTGTATGGTCTGTGTTGATTTGTCGTACAGTTTCTAATACTGCTAACAGACTGTAAAATAGCGGCAGTAAAATCAAAGTCAGCACGGTCCGTAACATTAAGCTGCTTCGTCGCCTCATTGTGACCAGATGCCGAGTCCAACGCCGCAAAGAAGGGGCAAAAACACTGGTGGACTGAAATACTTGTTCCCCGCGAGTGAATAATTCATTTTTAAATAAGCGTGCCAAAGTGCCAAAATGGAAACCCTCTTGAACCTGCCTTTAACTCATGTCTGACAAATGTCAATGAGCCGTCAGTGAAGTAGATCATGAAATGCGAAAAGACCTGAAATCACAACATAAAGGTAAATAGCCGTTTATTACGGATTAATAAGAGAAAGAGTAGAACTAACAAACGGAAATCATTAGTCGAACATCAGAGTTTTAAAACAAAAGTTTGTTTAAATATCACGCCCACTTAAAAGCGTTATGCGACACGCCCGCCTGCAGTGATGACTGCTGTCAGAGGCATTATAGACCTTCTT